GATTTCTCCATGTTTTACAGCTCTTCAAATGGATGTCAGAGTCTGTCTCTTCCAGGTTTTTCTCAGCTGTTGGCACCTTCTTTAGCAGTATACGGACTTTGATACTAGTCATCTCTGCCTTGTCTGTTTCTAATGCTCTGAATGTTAAGATATCTCTAGTACAGATACTGGATAAAGCTAACACCTACCAAAAAGATTTCCGTTATTGGCACCTTCATACTTCATTTGCTTTTTACTTTCTTTTCTTTTCTTTTTCTTTCTCCTCATGCTAATCATTATCTGGCTATGAAAGGATGTCGGCTCATCATTGGGGGAAGGCTTTTGCGAAAAGGTGGGTTTTATGTTGTGTTCCAAATATAGTTGATCTTAGGCTCAGTCCTCCCCTCACAGTAAGGTCTCTCACAAATGGAGGTATTTTACTCCATTTCCTTCTGGGTTGAGTAATACCAGGGTGGGGCTGGGAGGAGGATGAGAATGCATTTGTTTTTTTTTTTTTGTGAGAGAGGTTGTCTTGTTGACTTGAAAATGGATAGTTTTTTCAAAAACCCTCCTACTATGTGCAAAAAAAAACCCAAACAAGAACAAACAAAACACCACAAAAAAACCTGAAAACGCTTTAAAATATTTCACCGAAAACCCTCCTACTATGTGCAAAAAAAACCCCAAACAAAAACAAACAAAACACCACAAAAAAAACCTGAAAACGCTTTAAAATATTTCAAAGATTTTGAAATGGAACCTGATGCCTGCCAAGATAGGGAAGAAAGTGCTGTCTTGTCATGAGTGGATTTCAGGAGACATCTCTTTTAGAAGAGATGGTGACTCTGGCTAGCTTGAAGCCACGCAGAGTACCCAGTCTCCTTGCTTCAGTTTCCCATCTGCAGCATAATGGTCTTTCTTTGCATGAAGAGAGGTATTTTGGGAGTCCCTCAGCCATGGTGAGTGTCATAAACAAGTGTTACCCTTACACAGAATGCACATCCAGGAGATACAGCTCACCTACCACAATGTATGGAAACTTACTACAAATAAACACATGCTTGTTTTAAATCTTAGTTTTTAAGACAAACTCCCTTTCTAATTGAAGCCATATAAATGTATACCTGGGAAAGAAGCCTGAAATTCAACAGAATCTTTGGGAGTCAGGGAGTGAGGGGGGTAAACTCTGTGGAGTTGAGGGTCTGCTTGGGAAAAGACAGATGACTCGCATCTGAATTTAGAGCAGAGGATGCTATTGCCGTTTCTCCAGGCTGAGATTGGAGCTGTTAATCTGTGGTGATGGTTTAGTTGCATCAGTAGCTGCTGAGGAAACTACCGTGGGAAGTAGCTGAGCACAGCCAAATGCTATACAGGCCAGTGCCTGACTTGAACTTTTCCTCAACCATCTATGTTTTTACTTTTTGTGTACACCATTTAGCTTCCCATCTGCTTATCACAGCTTCTTGAACATTGTTTGGGTGGGAGAAACACTTTTACTCAGTTTTGAGTTTGTCTTTTAGTACTGTGTGCTACCAAGCCCTCTTCTTTCTTCATTTCCATAAGCAAAAGAAAATCCGTGTTGAAACCAGGAAGCTGTTTTCTGCAGTTTTTAGAAAGCTTGTGTTGTGTTCAATATAATAATCTTGTATTTGACAGAGAAAGGACTTGCTGATAGATTTACTTATGGGAAGTGAAATAAAGTCCAAATTAGATGTGCTTGCAAATGGACAGATTTCTACAGAGCAAAATATGGCTCAGCAAGTCAGTTGGAGAGAACTGAACTGCTTAGGAACACACAGCTTGATATGCAAAAAACACAGCTGAAAAAGGTCCTATTCTGGAAAAGAATTAATCTGGGTTAGAGTGGAAACACAAACCTCTGTACAAGGGGATTGTGTTAAATTTACCAGCGCTGGTCTGAGTAAGTTCACAGCTGTTAATTCCTCCCTTTAAGTGCAAAGCTAGAAAGCATGAAAAATATGGTAGGACACAAGAAGTCATTCCTCAACAGAGGACAGTAACACCCTCAAGATATATTAGCTGGGGTGGTGTACTATGTGGAACAGAATTTGTTAGTATAGCAGAATCTTTCTTTTACCAAATTTAAAAAGTAGGATATGAGTAAGATCAGTTCTGAATAACCTGTACACGGGTTCTCTTGTTTGGGAATAAATGATACTTGATGCCCACATCTCGGCTGCCTCATGAGCTAGCACAGGTCTAACACGGTGTATTAGTTGGGGCACAAGACAGCACAGATGCACATACTCTGTTTTCAGAGTCAGCTGAGTGGTTCAGAAACAACCTACTTGTTGGATCGGTCTGCTGGGGAGCCTAAGGTAATAAGCCCTGCTTGATGGCAAGCTGGCTTTTGCGGAAGCCAGCTCCTGTGCCTGTGCCACATGCCCGGGTGTGAAAGGGCTGTAGTCTAAATAGTTCTGAATATACTTTTTCCAAGGCACGTTATCAACAGTGCAAGGTAGGGGTAGGTAGTACCGCTATATTCCTGGAATGCTGCACTTCAACTAAAAGTGAGCCTTCCTCTAATACATCCAACAAAGAACATCCCAGTTCCTGATTGCTGGGGATAGCAATGTAGGAGGATGTTAACATCCAGCATCTGCAGTTGCTGTTTTGTTCTAGCTGTCTGGATAACTTGACACTTGAAGGTACCAAAGAAGCTGACAGAGAAGTTGCTGCATTGTGTGCTGCAAGATTTGTTAGAAGTGAAAGTTTAGGGAAGTGTAGAGGATTGGCATTGCTGTGTCAGTATGGGAGTAAATAACATGGCCTGAACAACCAGCACCTGCCTGGCAGTAAGGGCACACAAAATAGCGGAATTATTGATACAGGATTTCACTGGTTTTAGTAGGTTCTTCAGCTGGGCAACTTGTCTTGTCCTTCCTCTGCTTGAGAATTATTGATTAACAGTTGTCATAGGTCTTGAGATATCAGTGAGAACAAGGAGTTATTATCAGGCGTTGATTTTTTTACTCCATCTTTTTATGGGTGTGCTTCTTGTTCCTGTGCCATTTATTAAGGGTTTGGGAAAAGTGTATGCTGCTCCTGAAAACTAGGATAAAGATTGCTTGAATATTAAATAGAGCAGGACGAGCTAATCATCGGGAACATGTAATAATCTACATGTAAGGAAACGCTGCGTTTCACTTCAGACAAATGTGGGATCATGCGTGTAAGGAACCAGGAATGCATGTCATTATGTGTGGTAAGAGAATGGGAAACAGTAATTCTTACAAAGAGTTACGGTCAGTGTTGAGTGGTCAGATACAGATGGTCTTCTGCCAAGAAGAGCCAGTTCTGTCCTTGTAAAATCAGTGGAGTGTTGAACAGAAGATGCAATCTCTGAGTTTAGTCCTACTGCACCTACTGTTGGTATGACACGTCCAGTTCTAGCGTAAGCCTCACAAAAACATGCTGGGAAAATAGGAGAGGGTTCTGAAAAGAACTACAAGAAATGCTTTCTTGTCTTTAATCATTCTTAGAGCAGCCTGTTCAGGGAGTTCAATATATGTGTGACTTATTAAAGTGAAGGAGTAATGTGATCGTAGTAACTAAGTACTTATATGGGAAGTAAAATCTGGTGACAATGCAGTCAAGCAGTGAGGAGAAGCTAAAGTCAGAATGATACTAAAACATTATGTGCACCACAGTGTGTGTGGTTTTTTTTAAAAATGGTAACTATTGAAACAATTTTCCAAGAGTTGCCATAGACTACTATCAGTAGTATTTCTTAAATGAAATGAATGTGTTTTTAAAAATAATTTGATCACAGCTGTTGCACTCAAATTAACAAACGGAGGAACTTAAGATGCCAGAGTGTATGATCACAAGGTTATATCAGGTTATTAAACTGAGTATGAAACTTGCCAAGTGTCATGCAAGCATGGATTTGTTCATTTGTGCCTGTACAATGGTTGTTAGCTCTTGAGTTATGATGTCACATCGTTATGGTACAGTGAATTTCAGACTGAGCATTGCTCTGTGCCAGATTTTTGGTAGTCCCCATTGGGTTTCAGCAAGAGGAGAAGTAGTAGATGAGCAAGATCTGGGATTTCTGGGATGATTGAATTGAGCATGTCATCTTCTGTGTGGCCAGATGTTTGCTCCACGTTTGCAGACTACTGAGCATTTCTAACTCATACTTTAATTAATGAAGTTGGTCTGTAGACCTCAACTGTGAGTTGAGAACTAAGAGACATGAAGGGCCCTGCTCTTTCATAAACAGGCTATACCAGGAAATTAAAAAATACTTTACTGTTATCTTAACCATGTGATCTAATGAATAAAGACTCCTATAGGTATGACACATTCCCATTCATTTTTACAGTTTGTAGCTGTTCAGGGAAACTGAGTGAAAGGAACTTAATGAATTGCAGACATTTATCTCTCAGCTCTGTAGCTAGCACTCAGCCTATTGATATCTGAGGTTTCTGTACATTGGGTAAGATTTCTTCCCTTGTTCTCCAGGCTGTCCTGGGTGTTTTCAGTCATGAGGTTTTGTAGGAACAGGAGTCTAATGCAAGAGGAAAAAAAACCCTTTTATTATTTCATCAGTAGTATTAAACTGTCCAATAAGGGTGAACATTTTACTCTGTGTGTGATTTTGGAAAAACTTTGTTTGTCTCCTTTCCAAAGTCTTTCTTGCTCTAGTTAGGCACAGTAAGTGCAAATGGGAATTGATATCAAATACCTCTATGTTCCATAACCACTTCGGCCATCCACGTAGGTTACTTGAAAGCACTCAACTGTTGCTGCAGTTCAGGTGACGTTCCACTTCGTCTTTAGTAAGTGATGAAGTGGATATTCTATTATGACCTGGGAGAATTTTTGTTGTTCCCCTCAGAACAAAGTTCAACATGAATCGGAAGTTCAAGTTGAATCCTTTAAAGGCTTCTTCAAAGGAGTTGCTAATGTTTTTGAATGTTATATGCTTCTCATCATTAATGTGTTTTGTCTTTATTTCTCGGCCTCATCTGTGTATGTTTTTATTGCAGCACACGTCGCATGGAGACGGACGACAGGAAGTTTCCTCTCGAACTGGGCGCTCTGGAGCTCGCTGCAGGAACTCTATAGCTTCCTGCGCAGATGAGCAGCCGCATATTGGAAATTACAGACTCCTTAAAACGATTGGAAAGGGGAACTTTGCAAAAGTAAAACTGGCAAGGCACATCCTAACTGGCAGAGAGGTAAAGTGATATGGGTGTAAACAGTAGTGAATTGCAGTAGGTGTGAAGATTTTCTTAAAGTAGCATCATCTAAGTCTGAACATGTAGCACATTTTATTAGAGATATTGCCACTGATGTAGGAAAAAATAGAAATGGAAAACTTATTTTTTTTAACAATTGCAAAACATTTTCTTTTGAAAATGGTCTCAGATTTGTATTTCAGACAAGTCCCTGTCCAGCTGAATTGTGTCTAAGTTTGCGACTAGGATGCTCTGCTAAATCCTCTGTTCCCCCCAAAATGTGCTCAATATATAGCAATTAAATAAGCTTGCTGGAAAGACTGCCTCTTGGTGTCTATCTACTGCACAGTGCAGGACTTTATTAGAGGGGAAGTCAGGAATGAGAAGTAATAAGTCTTCTTGATTATGGTCTGAGTAGCCCAAACACAATATTTTCTTGCCAAAGCAATTTATCTCCCAGGAGTTCTGCTAGTGCTTGCAGTTTGGACAGCCTTGGGAAGATGCTCCAGTTTGTTCAGAGCCAGTTTGTGTGTTTGTTGCTCAGTGTTGTGTGGTGTAGACAAACTTTCTCTTCTATCTCTTCATAGTGTCTAACTCAGCTCCATAATTAATTTCTGCGTACCATTGCAGTGTAATTAATAACTTGCACTTAATGACGATTCTGGTTTGGCGACCTATAGTCCTGTTTGCTTGTTACAAGATGTTTCTTAGTGTTGTTAAAAGCAACTCTGTGTACTGAAAGAGAGAAACACCTCGTTGACCTTTTCTTACCAAACCTGTCTAATGAAGTAAATGTTTGCTGATACCAGCAAGGACTTTTAAAGAGGGCTGTGCAACTGACTTCAGTGCTTTAAGGGAATTTCTTTTTTTCTGAGCTAATATGGAGTGCAGTAGCACTAGGAGGAACAGAGGGGACACCGTTTTTCGAGAGTTGTTGTGAGGGATTTATTTTTTTTTAAGCTGACAGTTTCAGTGATCAGCGGTTGTCCTCTGGTGTTAAAGTTAGTGCTTGTTTATAGACAAAGGTTTTCATTAATTGCTTTCCAGTAAAGTTCCCTCCTCTTTTTACTGATACTTAACACAGGAAATGCAAGTGCTTGGTTAGTATTTCTTTGCTATTATTATAGGTATAGGAGTTGGAGATAGGCTCATGTGTCACACATTGCTTTGCAAAAATTGAAGTACATTTTCTTTTGCTTGCATATAACTGTGTGTTGACCTCTGGCTCATTATTTTTGTTTGAAATTTCTACAAATAAACTGACTGTAAAACCTTTGGCTAAGTTTGGAAAGATTTAAGTACCAAGTTTCTTTAACTCTCATGGAATAGGTGTCATTCAGACAATTTGGAGCATGAGTACTTTCCAGGACTTGGCCATTGGTCCTGGTTAGCTAGAACGAGTGGTAGCCCTTTGAAGGGAACGATTAAGCTAGTTTTATAGGAGTATCTTGCAGGTATTTGAAACTTTTTGTTTCTTTGTAAGAGAAATGAGTAGAAGTTTCTCTTCTTGCTAGGTGAACTGTAGAGCATTGTTAATAATTACATATTTTAGATGTGTGTGACCAGAATTGCTCATAATATTCTGGATAACAATTTCCCCAATGTCCTTAATTTGCCCTTGTGGAAGTATTTTTCTGATCAATCTTTGGATTGTGCTAACCTTTTTCATGTGTGTCACATTGATGTTTTTTGGTCGTGATCAGCAACAGCAGCTTGTACTTTGTTGAATCTCACCTTCTTTGCTAACTCGTCTTCAAGGTTGTTTATATCAGTTTTCCATTGTATCTGATGTCTCAACTCCTTCAACAGACTTAATCAGTATGGTGTGACTTCCTCTGCCAAGGCCACTGATACAGATGTTAAACAAGATTGATCTTAAGTCTTGTCCTTGAAAAACTCTTATTTATTTCCAATGTGATATCTCTTTAGCCATTTTCTTGTAATTATAAAAGCTCTGTGCACATTTCAGCTTATCTAGTTCAATAATTTCCATACGTCCTTCTAGATGAGGCTTTGCAGTAGTCCAGATAGTCATATCTTGTGTTTCCATGGGGCACAATTAACTGTAGGAAAATATGTTGCATTTAACCCTTCTGTCTGTTCCCCTGTTTTTTCCCTGCAAGTTCAAAGCTCAATAATTTTGTGGTAAATGGCTCTACTAGGAAAAAAAAAAAGTTAAATCTGAAAATTTCTGAATCTGTGCTGCCATTTTCTTCTTGATAGATGTCAGAAACCTTTGCTACAATAATGCTTTTTTCTTTTTAAACCTGCCACTCTTAAGAATTCCAGGATAATCTTCTCAGTCTGGCCTCAGCCAGACAGCACTTATCTTCCTGAATTTGTGATTTCCTGCTTTACACGCTCATTC